GCGGGTGATGAAAGTATATTGCAGCATAAGTAAGGGAAGTTGACGATAGAAAAGTTAAAAGTCATCACGTTTATCATAGAGCTTGGTTGTTAGATTACCATTAATGTCTTTTTCAAGTAAAATATCCAAGTATGAAACAGAAGTGTCAGACTCTGTGGTATCTTTTATCTCAAGCTCACCAGGGATATATCGTATCGACGTACGAATGGAAATTATAATTATTTATTGACAATCGTCGTCGATATATCTAAATGTCGAGTTGACGGCCAAAGCAAGTATTTTCTTCTTTTCACGCATAAAAATTTGATTCCCCATTGTGGCCCCGCCCTACCCCCGGGGGTCATGATTTGAACAATTTAGAATCTACACTTTCTGCTTTACTAAATGCTTCCACATAAGTTTCAGCTTTTCTGGACTCAGTGGTTCTTGAGAAGAAGATTTTTTTAATGACCCCATCTTATTTTTGTCTTTTCTTGATTATCTCCCCTTGTGAGGGGACTTGGCCCCTTCATTTTTACAATTTTATTTTCCCTCTACATAAGAATGCTTTGTGCCAAGTTTGGTCAAAATTGGCACAATGGTTGTTGAGAAGAGGTCGAAAATGTGAAAAGTTTCCAGACGGACGGACAGACAGACGGACGACGGACAAATTTTGATCAGAAAAGCTCACTGGAGCCTTCAGCTCAGGTGAGCTAAAAAAACGAAAGGTTATCTAGAAATCATTTCATTTTAGATATTTCCAACTTTTGTATTTGACATCGTTACTTCAAAAACATGATCAAGTCAAAGTATAAATACATATAGTGAGATATATATATATCATTGCAATGCTAAAGGACATGCAAAAACCTTTTAAGACAATCATTAAATATACTTTGTGTTGTCAATATGTCAATAAATTCAATTATTTCATTAAACACTTTAAACTGAAATTCTGTATTATTACAAAAGTTGTTTAGGATATTGATTTGAACAGAAATATTTAAAAAATGTTTACTGTGGTTTCATCGATTATCGTTGGCATCAATTTTCGTGGATTTTGAAAAACAGACGTTTTCGAGGATACGTAATTTCGTGGACAAAAGCACTGCCTATACAAATATTTCGTTATTCAATGAACATTTGAAATCATGGATCTGCTCAACAACGAAATCCACGAAAATTGGTGCTCAACGAATATTGTTGAAACCACAGTATTTATATAACGGTTTCAGCTTTTTTTTTCTACTGATGGAATCGGGATATACTGATAAAATAATCAACTAAGTTTTGTTTCACATTTGCATAAATGTTTAAAAACAAAACATGTCCGAAAGTTTTCTCAAATCAGTCTACAAAAGTGTTTATTGATATGATAAAACTCTTTGCTCTCTGATTGGCCAACATGTAGCATTGTTGAAAAAATCAATGCATTTATATAACGGTTTCAACTTTTTTTTCTACTGATGGAATCGGGATATACTGATAAAATTAGCAAATAAGTTTAGTTTCACATTTGCATATATGTTTAACAAGAGGCCCAGGGGCCACATCGTTCACCTGAGCAATTGGCTAGGAAAAATCACACATCAGATCAGAACTGAAAGTTTACTGAGGGGGAGGGGCTTGAATTTTCAACCCCAGGGGGTCATGATTTGCACTAACTTGAACCAGTCTACACTACCAGCGGATGATTCCCTAAAAATTTCACTGAGCATGGCTTTAAAGTACTTGAAAAGAAGATTTTAAAAGGTTTCCCTAGATATTCCTATGTAAAACTTTTATCGGCCATTTGGCCCCACCCTACCCCTGGGGTTCATGATTTGAACAAACTTGAATCTACACTACCTTAGGATGATTCTACATGAGTTTCATCTTTCCTGTCTCAATGGTTCTTGAGTAGAAGATTTTTCCTATAAATTCCTATGTAAAACTTTGATCGGCCATTTAAGCCCCACCCTACCCCAGGGAGTCATGATTCAAAGAAACTTGAATCAACACTACCTGAAGATGATTCCATATGAGTTTCATCTTTCCTAGTCTAGTGGTTCTTGAGGAGAAGATTTTTTAAAGATTTTTCCTATATATTCCATTGTAAACTTTGATCAGCCATTTTGGCCCAACCCTACCACTAGGGGTCATGATTTAAACAAATTTTAATCTACACTACCTAAGGATGATTCCAAATAAAAATCATCTTTCCTGGCTCAGTGGTTCTTGAGATGAAGATTTTTTTTGAAAAATGCCATTAAATTTTCTCTAATTCATAATTATCTCCCCTTAGAAAAGGGCGTGGCCCTTCATTTGAACAAACTTGAATCCCCTCTACCCAAGGATACTTTGTAGCAAGTTTGGTTGAAACCGGCCCGGTGGTTCTTGAGAAGAAGATGAAAATGTAAAAAGTTTACAACAACGACAACGACGACAACTACGCCAACGACGACAACGACAAACAACGGACAAATTTTGATCAGAAAAGCTCACTTGAGCCTTTGGCTCAGGTTAGCTAAAAACAAAACATGTCAGAAAGTTTTTCAAATAATTCGACAAAAGTGTTTATTTATATGATAGTAACTCTTAGATATCTGATTGGCCAAGATGTAGCATTGTTGAAAAAATCAGCCTATATTGACCTGCATGTGATCTTCCAAGCGAATATTATGATTTATTTCTTGCTACGTTAGACAAAAAAGCAGATCGAAAAAATACAAATTGATTCAGATATCAGTGGTTCCCAATCGTCTAAAATGTTACTGTGTTTCAGAGTTTATGCAAAGCACTATTATTTTGCAGTGTTTTCGCTATAAAATTCGCAAATGAATCACTATTCCTTATAATTACAAAATAATATATGAATACATGTTTTTTTTTAGATGATCGCTAATTCTTTACACAAATGGTATGGCCGTACACATTGATAAAAGTAAAACATATGTTTTCTTATGAAAGGCAGAGGAAATTCTCGTCGATACAGTTGAACTACTTAACATTTTTGAGAGAAAATTTGCCGTGATTATTTGTCAGTTTTCTTGAACAAATTACCAAATTATAAAAAAAAAATTCCGAATGGTAAAATTCTTTTAAGAGTTGAACATGTTGAAAATTTTAAGCAATTTATTTACATCAATTAAAGTAATATACCCTATAACGTGCGCCATTTTAAAATACGGCTGGAAATTTATATATTTTGTTATAAAAGTTATAAAAATGCTGTAAATTACACCATTTAAATAAAATTCCGTATAAAGTTATCAAATTATAATTATTTATTATCCTGCAAGGAGAATAATGTCTATTTTTAAGTAAATCCACCACGTGACGCCGTCGCTACTTTTAGATTAATAAACAAACACGGCGTCAAGAAAACGAGGTAAGCCCTTTGAGATACAACTCACATTTGACATGGATGGCGTGTTACTATTAATATAACTTATCTTTAAATGTGATCAGTATCAACCATCTATACTCTGTTTTGAGGCATATTAACCTTTCATTAATAATTGCTTTCAAAATGCAACGTGCGTTGTTGTCTATAAATTCCCGTGGACATACGTGTCTAGATTTAGACCTACTGTTTACGCACTTCCTTTTTCAATATTCATGAAAAGACTGAATTCTTGATTGCAGATATTGCTTTATTGTTCTGATATTACAACGAGTTTTATAGTTAAATTTTGTGGAAATATTATTTTTTCATTACACTTTATGTGTTTCAAATCATTTAATCATTTTGTTTCACATACAAATCGGCATCCATACGGCGTATATTACTTTAAATAATTTCGATCAATGTTATGTTTGACTTACACTGCTAGCATATAATTATAGAGCCGTTGCTTTATATCTAGAAAAGATATATTTATTATATTTTTTTTAAATAATACAATCTATTTTAATGCAACTACCAATTAACCGTTAAATGGAAGTGTGAAAACAAATTATTTGTCTTTGTTTCTTCATGCGTCAAGTCCAGCAAGGGTCTAGGACATACTAAGATTATGCAGGTAGAGCCTTAGTAATAAAAGTGCTCTACCTTTGAATTGAAAGACGGTAGAATTGTTTGACTAAAGTTTCAGTTACAGAGATTTTATATTTTTGGATTATACTGCGTCGGCAAAATTTTTACTGTTTCGCATGCGTAAAATTCAAATCGCACGAAAGCCCATTGAGCTCATTTTCGTAGATTGAATATGAAATTCGCGTAATAATGCAAAACTTCCGCCTTATTTCGCAAAAAGAGATACAAAAAATATTTTAAAGGAACGTGTCGTCTGATCTTAAAAAGACCACTACTAACAAACAACTGTTAACTGTGTTAAGAAAGATGCCAACTCTTCGTAAATTTTTAAAAACATTTTTGTTGATTTATTTTCAAGAATATTATTTAAGTGATTGCAATGTACCCACAAAGTTAAAAGAAATATCTACAGTACACATTTCCATGTTCAAGGTATAACCTTTAAATTACCCTGCATTCGGGTTTATATTTCTTAGTTGATTCGATACACAAGAGCATGATCTACGCATAAACTCTCTCTAAAACTAAGTTTATTGAAAAACAATATGACAAAACAAGAATATCAGCAGTCTTGTTAGTCATCATTTCTTAAGTTCTATGGTCGATATAGTGACCTTGTCAGCAAATACAATTCATCATCAAGTTGAATGATGACTGACGTTCTTCAAAGTAATTGTTAGGTCATTACTAGTATTAACATACTGCATTGTCAAGGAGCACGCGACAGTTGTAACTGGTCGGGATGCTCACAGGTTTAGGGCACCTGATCTCGCCTCTGATGTTTTGAGGTCTGTATTTGCCTTGTTCTGATTTGTATTGTTTAATGGATATTTGATTATCAATATTGTTCTTTATCTCGATATATTTAACATATTCATATATCAATATTCCTTATTAAGAGAAAATTGAAGAAGTAATAATTTGACAATAAAAAAATATTGTCTCAAAAAAGTTTTGGAAACAATAATGACCAAAAAAGAAAAGAAATCCAAATTAAAGCTTACGTGTTTTGACATGATGGATCAGCATAAAAACATTGCTTTTCTGTGTTGATTCTACTGCAATCTGAAACTAAACAAAAAAAGAGGAAATCATAATCCCGAATGAACAAGATACCATTCGAAATTTGGTGCAAAAAAAAAAATTGAAATACATACATTTGTATAGGTCAGTTCCTCTGAAATTTTCTACTGGACAACCAGTTTTAAATTGATGACAACTGATTTGATCTAAGGCTCCATTCCCAGTCGTCACCAAGCAATGTCCTTATTTAAATAAATATTATAAAATCAAAGTAAATTATACAGAATTTCGATCATCGCAATGAGGGATTTCATTTGAGTATCATCCAGGTTTCTAGCAATAAACAACTTAAATAATTTTTTTGAAAAAAAAATGTCTTTCAATATGATTGTACTTGGAATGGAAAGTCTATACATTGTTTCTCCGACTCTTCTTTTAGCAGAGGGGTGTCTATTCTATTTAGAAAAGGGTTAGAAATAGATGTGATAAGTATACATAAGAGTAATGATGGCAGAAAATTAATAGCTAATATAAAAATAGGCGATGATACTTATAGTTTGATTAACATTTATGCGCCAAACAAGGAAACATCTAGGATTGACTTTTTTAAAGGAATGAAAAGATTTATTATGAACAATTCAGCCAATTTAAGTAATATAATTTTATGTGGAGACTTTAATTGCCATATAGACGGTATCAATAATGATAAGAGTTCAAAGCTTTTGATAGAAATCCTAAGAAATATAGAATTGACAGATCTATGGAAGAAAAATATGTAAACCTTAATGGATATTACGGTGTGATGCAAATAACATCCCGAAGAGTCGCATTGATTTCATTTTTATTAGTTCAACTCTTTAAACGAAAATAAGACAACTTTGTATACGTAGAATCCCCGGTACACATAATAACGGCATTAGAATGTCAGACCATAGAATATTAAAATTTGATTTTTTAATACATAATAATGAGCGGGGAAAGGGATACTGGAAACTTAATACTTCACTTCTAGAGAGTAAAGAATATAAATCCCAAATTAACAATTTGATAAAAGATATAAGTAAAAAAGAAGGCACGTCAATTGAAAAATGGCAGTTCCTAAAACGGACGATCAAGGGTTTTTCAATAGCTTTTTCTATAAAACGACAAAAAACTTATAAACAATTAATATCTCGAATTGAAAAAAAAATTAATGAAATTGAAAGTTCGCCTCATAATTTAATAGACATGAATAAAAAACGCATTCTTGAAAATCAATTAAGTAATTTATACGATAAAAAAGCTAGAGGGGCACAAATCCGATCTAGGGCAAAATGGGTTAGTGATGGTGAAAAAAATACAAAATATTTTCTAAGTTTAGAGAAAAGACATCAAACAAAAAATATCATACATGAAATTTTAAAAGACAATGATGTGCTTAGCGATGATGACGATATACTAGGTGCAATGTGCGACTTCTATGAAAATCTTTATACTTCAAAGTTAGTGCCGAATGATGATATTGACCTATATTTAAACGGATGTAATGTAAATAAACTTTCTGATAAGGATAGAGATAGTTGTGATGTCTTCCCCTCAATATTTGAATGTAAGGAAACAGTTATGAATATGAAATTAAATAAAGCCCCTGGTCTGGACGGAATACCAAGTGAATTTTACCAATGTTTTTGGGATCATTTATCCCCTTTATTTTATGAAATGTTAAAAGAAATCTTTTTGAATGAAGAAATGACCTTTTCTCAAAGACTCGCTGTTATTTCTCTTATACACAAAAAAGGAGAAAAAAATCTTCTAAAAAACTATAGACCAATCAGTCTTACCAATACGGATTATAAAATTATAGCCTTTATTTTTGCACGTAGATTACAGAGTATGATCCACAAGCAAATAGGTTTTGAACAAACAGCATATATAAAAGGCCGATATATAGGAATGAATGCCCGCTTTATACTAGATATCTTTGATTATTGTGAAAAATTATAACAAAGAAGGCATTTTACTATTTTTAGATTTTGAAAAGGCCTTCGATTCAGTTGAATGGAGTTTTTTATTCAAAACTTTAGAAAATTTAATTTCGGTCGAACTTTTTAAAGTGGATAAAAACCTTATATCATAACCCGATATTTAGACTAAATAATAATGGATGGATTTCAAAAACATGTAAAATGAAAAGAGGGATCAGGCAAGGCTGTCCAATATCAGCAATTCTTTATCTTTTTGTAGCGGAAATTTTGTCCATAAAGATTAAAGAAAACAAGAATATAGAAGGCTTTAAAGTAGATTATATGGAGAAAGAAGTAAAAAATTTACAACATGCAGATGACATGACACTGGCATTAAAAAATATTGAATCTCTGAATCAAGTTTTGGAAACTATAAACATTTTTGTCTTCATGCAGGTTCTAAAGTAAACATTAATAAAACTGAATGTATTCTTCTTGGTCCTTTAAAAAATCTCTTCAGAGAAATAGGGGGCATTATGATTACAAATGAGGCAGTAAAGTGTCTAGGCATTTATATAGGTCATGATAAACTAGAATGCTATAATAAGAATTGGATGAAAGTCTATCATGAAATAGAGACTCTATTCGAATCATGGAAAAGAAGAAACTGACATTATTTGGGAAATGTACCGTAATAAACTCTTAAGCGCTTTCAAAACTAATTTATCTAGCAAATGTTTTAGAAACACCCAATGAAAATTATATTAAAAATATTAATAAACTAATATTCAATTTCATAAGGAATAAAACATATCGATTAAAAGAAACACAATGGTTGGTCATATTAAGGACGGTGGGTTAGGGATAATTGATATTGAGTCTAAGTTTAGAGCGCTTAAAGCCTCATGGGTATGTAGATTGAGAGAAACAGATCACTGTATTAATAGCTACATAAATAGTTATTGTATTCCAATAAATATTAATATCGACTATGTGATTAACACCACGGAAAATAAAATAGAAAATTTTGAAATGATACGAAAGATGCCTCTTTTCTATAAACAAGTATTTACATGCTTTAATGCATGCAAACAATTGCACGATAACCTCAGTGTTGAACTTTTTCTTAAACAACCGATATGGTCAAATTTAAGATACTCATATGAAGGAAAAACGATTTACTTTAAAAATTGGCTCAAAAGCAGTATATTGTTTGTTAAAGATCTATTTCCGAGAATGGTCTCAAATCACCCGATGAAATGACAGAGATTTTGATAAATAAGAGTAATTGGTTATGTGAATATAAAATCATACACTCGATCTTTAAAAAGTATGAAAAAGATATGATTTCTCTCTCTACAACATCTAAAGGAAGTGTCATTAAATACTTTATGTTTTAATAAAAATTCAACAAAATTCTTTTATAATGAATTTTTAAAAAGAAAATTTCAAGCTCCGCTTTTGCAAGCAAGGTATTCTAAAGAATTTAATATACCTAAGAGAGACTGGGAAAAAAATTATATAAATAAAATAGAGTTATTAAAAGATAAACAAGTTGCAGAATTCAACTATAAGTTATTAAATAATATTTTGTCTAACAATTATTTTGCAAGTAAATTAAATAAAAACTCTAATTACTCATGTAAAATATGTGTCGAAGATGAAGAAAATTCAAAGCATCTCATTTTTGATTGTACAAATGTACGAGAAATCTGGGCTATAGTCAGCAATTTCTTAGGTTTGTAAAATGGAAACATATAATTTTTGGTTTTTATGTTGATAGAAATGAAACCACTGTCATGTATAATTTACTGTTGTCATCTGTAGCTTTTCAGATATATACATATAAAATGTATTGTCGATTAGAAAATATTGATGAAACAGATGCAGGGATATTATTTTATTTAAAATCTTGTATTTTGAATTATTCTGAAATATTACATACTATGGGAGATTCAAAATACTCTTCTTTTTTTCAAAATCTATTGAAAAAAATGTAATTGTTTAATATGTCTTTGAGGGGGACCAGGCCCTCAGGACAACGCAAGAAGGGGGGTAAAATAAAAGGGACTCTGAGATGATGAAAGGCTTACCTCCCTTCAAGATGTTATAATTAAAACTATTACAGAAATATGTTGCAAACTGATATAATATTGTAAAATACCACTACATTTTCTTTAATTATACAGAATTTGTAAGTCTTAAAATGTTTTTTTTTTCCTTAAAATATTTAATATTTTCTCAAAGAGGCATTAAATATGTAATCATTGAAATTATATATGTATATATATGTAACTTATGATACAATCGATATATGAAGTATATGAGGGTGACCTGGCCCTCTATACAAGTTGCTCAGGGGTGTGTTGGACAGTGTTTTGTGTGTTCCCCTAGCAACATAAAGGTACAAAATCAATCTGTATAAGTATCTGTATAAGTATTTTGTTAATATACAACATGATTATATACTCAATTGTTACATTTATCATATACATAATTTTTGCTATCCAATCTAGGGAGCCCCTGGCACCCCTAGTGAGGGTTATTATAGGGGGACATCTGCGGATGTTTTTGCCCCAAAATTACTTTGTTATCATGTTTTCATTGAATAAAATTTATATAAAAAAAAACAAAAATCAAAACAAAACTTAAATAATTTTTACCAAAACTAATATATATCTTACTAACATAAATGCCCTAAGCGAAGAAATATCAATATAGAAAGCACAAAGAAATTCACTTTTACATGGATACCCAGTCCGGGGTTGAACTCTCGACTTTATGTTAGTTTAAAGTAGGTCTATACTCGCGCTACGTCATTTACGAATAGTAAAACCGGAACCGGGTTTTTCTTCTATATGGAAGATTTTTTAACTATATTGGTTTGACTTTTACTTAGCGTTTTAAATATCCGGTAACGATTATGCTCGAAGTCGGTCGGGTCAACAAACACATATTCTACAGTTTAAGGATAAATTAATTAAAAAGAGATGGCTGGGAACAACTTTCGGTTGACAGAAATAATTAGGCATAAAACCATATATTTCTGTGAATGATGCAATGTTTGATATGCTGCGCCGAAAACACGGACCATATACAAGACATGTCATCAAGAACACGTATCAAACTATCGAGGCGACTATTGTCGTGGTGAAAGTCGAAGCTAATAGTGATAATTCGGAAGAAAAGTAATGACTACGATTTGACTTAGACAATTTATGGATTTTGCTAATCAAACATTACAAAATTTACTTTGAATAATGAATAATAATTATTGCATAATAAAAACGCATACTCCTTACCCA